CCGCCATTCCTGGGAGCGGCCGCAGCGATCAGCCAGTGCTTGCAGTGGGGGCACCAGCACTCCTGCCTGCCCCACCCCGCCCATTGCCTAAGTGGTGAGCGCGGCACCAGCGCTCTTAGGGAGTGCATGTGCACCCCTGTGCACCCCCTACACGTCACCACTGGTAGAAAGCTCCCTACTACCCCCTCCCTCATCTCCAGCCCAAACATATCCAGACCAGGAAAACAAACAAATTCTTTCAAAATAATCTGGGTGATACAGTAGTCATTTTCTGAACTTGTCTCCACCTGTTTTATTACTAGGGATGTTCATATGAAAACAGCATCTTTTCCCCATTGAAGTTTGTCCATTTTTCTATTTTTCTGTCTCATTTCATGTTCCCTGTCTGTGACATTGCTGCTGCTTCGTGGTGATTATAATGCCATAAAGAAGGAGGATGCCTCCACTGAGGAATAAGGAGCAGGAACAGATGGAAATCTTAAGGAAAACAATAAAATCTTGTTTTTCTTTTAAGTCTTACACAAAGGAAGGAAGAAAGCAAGCCCTGAGTCAGCGGAATTGTTTTAAATAGCAGATTTTCCAAGAGTGTCAGCATCTCTTCAGGCTGAATTGAAAGAATGGAAAATAGTTTACATCTAATAAGAAATTGTCTTTAATTTTCTAGCTATTGTAGCCAGAATTGACATATCTGAGTTTTAAGTTTGCAAACTCCCTGACCTTGGCCATTCAGTGCAACATAGCAGGGATTCCTGAGTTGGGATGACTTCAAGTCCTACTAGAATCGGTCAGCTGATATCATGAACGACTTGTGTCTCCTGAGCCTGTGGGGGCATGGCGACCGCCTGCAGGCAGTGGCACCGGTGGTGGTGGCGGGGGGGCGTGGTGGTGGGCCGGGCGGGGACTGCCTGCAGGTGGCCATGGTGATGTCAGCGGCAAGGGCGGGCGGAGCGGGGACTCCCCACAGGCAGCCATGGTGATGTCAGCAGCAAGGTCGGGCTGAGCAGGTACCACCTGCAGGCAGCTGCGGCAGTGTCATTAGGAAGGAGTGGGGTGGTTAGCAGCAACTGTCCCCACATGCCGGCAGCAGCGCTGGCAGCAGCTAATCTCAGAGGGGGACACGTGACCCCTTCTGCCCCCCCCACCCCCATGCATTGCCTATGGGTGATATAAAAACAATTCTATGATTCATTTTTATTTAAAAAATAAAGAACTTCATAAAGTTATAATGTTCGTTTAGCTCTTGATGTTCTTAAATATATTATCTGTATGAAGTGGCAAATATCATAACATGCATCATTATAGTGCCTAATTGTCTCCTTCTATCCCACGCAAGTGCATGCTGTGCTGCTTTTATTTATTACCTTTCCTTTAGCATGGACATCTATATAACCTATCCATTTTTTTTTATATCAGCAGTAGGCTGAAATTTTGACTTGTTTTATGCCAGTGAAATCCCCCTGAAAGCAGGTTTTGACTCTAAGACTTCTTGTAGTGAATTCCACAAGGAAAATCTTCCATGTTCATCTCCCATTTCTTTTGCTAGACAGAGGAATGATCTAAAGACTACTGTACTGATGTCAATAGGGAGACTCCCATTCACTTCAATAGGATCTGAATCCTGCCATAAGTGCTTTACTAACCATCTAATGCACAAACAATGGTGTCATAAACCCATTTGTGGGGGTACCCCCAGGCCATATCTACACAAGACTCTGACTACACAGTAGCTCGTTACTATTGCACAGTAGCATTGCATGGCACACAGCACGGTGTGACACTAGTGCACAGTAGTACTGAGCTACTGTGCAGTCAGTGTTACGAAAGAG